AAAAAAAAAAAAAAAAAAAACCAGTAACAGAAAATAGCATCAAATAATAGCAGACTGGAACATACGATATACAGAGCGAACGAAAAAACAAGTGAGATACTAATACTACTAAAAAGAACGAGGAACTCTCGACTACCTACTAGCCAACTACCCTAATCTTCGACCTCCACACCCTTCTATCCTGGATCATGTCCTCGGTGAGCTGAAGTAGCGCCATATTTTGCCTAATTACCTCTCCTCAATACTTCTTCGGCCTTCCTCTATCCCTTCTCAGACCCACCACGGCCAGCCTCTCACACCTCCTAACAGGAGCATCCGTACTCCTCCTCTGCACGTGCCCGAATGGAGTGGAAATGACGGTAGTGGATTTTAAGTATACTGCTTAAAATATATTTACAGTTTATAATATATTTAAAGATTAGTCAATTTCTTTCAAATTTCAGGACACGACATCCTAGAGTTCAAACCTCAAAATTCAAACTTCAAGACACCGTGTCCTAAAGTTCGAATCTTATATCCTAAATTTCAAAGTAGTAGTTCAGAATTTAGGATACTTAGTTCTGAATTTCAAATTAGCAGCTCAAAAATTCAGGATACTTAGTCCTGAAATTTGGGTGAATTGGTTAATCTTTAAATACATTATAAATTATGACAACAACAATATATCCAGTATTATTCCACATCGTGGGATATTGTAAAATGTGAACATATTTTAAATAGCAGGCTTAAAAGTGACTATTGTTGCACTCCGCTCGGGAATGGACTCGTCAAGCCGGAATGCCAATCAAACTCTTTACTTTCGACTTAAATATGTATATATTATAAATTATATTCACTTCAATTTAGATTGTATATGAAAATTTTGATTTGAATATTTGATTTTCCCATTGAAAAAAATTAGAATCCAAATTGTCACGACCCAAATCGATGGGCAGCGATGGGTGCCTGAGTCACATGTCAATCACCCCTAAACATACGTCTAAGATATGAATTTGAATAACATCTGCTGAATTACGACAATAACATATATGAAGGAAACCTGCCAACAAGGCATATGTACGTATACAGGCAGAATGCAGTGGGCGAGCCGGCAAGGCTGCTATAGAAAACTATACATCCAAAACTGAAAGCCGACAAGGCAACATACAACCCAACTAGATATACTATCTACAGACCTCTAATAGAAACATAACTGTACAAAGACGGGACTGAGCCACGTTATACCTATACATATATATACATATACAAACGTATCATACCAAAATCAAAAGCAGCTCCGGATCAAGTGGAGCACGTCAACTCTCGCTGATTAGGGATCCTAAGAAGGGGGACCGTTAGCTTGCCTACCTGCACCTGCGGGCATGAAACACAGGCCCTGTGAAGTAGGGTGTCAGTACGAAAAATGTACTGAGTATGTAAGACATGAAAATTAGCACGTAAAAGACATAGATAAAACATGGAATAAGGAAACACATTTTTAAATCTGAATAACTCGTAAATTCTGAAACGTTTATACTATCATGCGCGTGCGTATAAATGTTGTCCCATGCATAGGTATGAGTGTACATAATATCATCAAGCCACTAAGGGCATCCCATCATATCATCCCGGCCACTGTGGGCAATATCATCAACATATACCAGTTGATCAGGTGGTGGTGCGTATATAACGCTGTAACCTTTTCCCATATCCCATATACATATATTACATATATACGCATATATAACGCCATCTGGTCATGGGTCAATGCACATGTATAAATGAGTGAAATGTATGAAAAATACGTAAAAATCTTAATACTCCTTCCGGATAAACTTTTTCAACTGCATATTATTCTTAGACCCATGAACAGAAGATAATAATAATTCTCGTGGGGAATCAAGAATATAGACACCCCTACTATTTCTATGAATACAGTATTTTATAGGAACTGTGTATTTGCTCGTTTCTTCAGTATAATTTGGTCCATGTCAAAAGAAAGAAGGGAGGGTCTTAACATACCCGTTCCTTGAATTATTTGATCGAAGTGAAGCTTCTGCTTCCATGAAATATGTTGGAACGAGAAAATGAAGCTTCTGCTTCTAAAATTGGAACGAAACTTTGCTTGGATTTGTTGAAGTTGGACGAATTTTCTTCTAATGAAGCCTTTGTTTTGAAAATGGAATGTTTCTGCCTAACGTCCTTGGCTTCTAAACCAAAGGCAGCTTTTGGATTTTGAAGCCTTTACAAGGCATTCCTTCTAAATGTTATGGAGAAGATTAAAAATCTTATCAAGACTTAAGCTATGACTTGGTTATCACATATTAGCCATCTGGCAAAGTGACTACTTAGTCATTTCCAATTTTGTGGCTTCTTGCCATGTGGGGGTGGGGGTGGGATATTAATTTTTTTATCCACTTATTAGTTAACTGGGTAATGTCCTGTTATCTGGTAATTAATCAATTACCCGCATAATTTAAAAATTACTACAAATTACTTAAAATTCTATTTATTTTCAAAATACTTCATATATACTTTATATATTATACTACCGTGGTCATATGGTACCTTGAATAGTACTAGTTCATAATTATCGGTTATTATCGCTCGACCCGTATTTTATTCCAAATTGGCCACTTCCAACAAAACTCGTTTTCGTTAATTCGTGTACCCCTTTATCTTTCATAACACTTATTTATCGCTTGTTATAAATAACGTAAGTACGTTAACGTCAAGATGATCTCATCCCCGAGTCTATGTCGGTTAACTGAAAACAAAATTTTAACGTACGAAAACGCGAGATGTAACATTCTTCCCCCCTTAGAAACATTTGTCCTCGAATGTTCAACTCCCCGTGATCTATATAACTTTGGCAAGGCCGCCTCTGTAACAACACCACTATCAACTCTCCCCGTAGAAGCTTAATAATCCAACGACACACGGGACCATGATTATGAATAACGACAATGGCCTCACATGACCAGCGATAATAACCAACACAAGAATTTATACTCGTACCTTATGATTATGACGTCTCAGTCGGACCCTTCTCTGGAGGAGGAAATAACTAGGGATATCTAGACATCATGTTTTCCTCGGCTTCCCAAGTCATTTCTTCCACATTGTTGTTTCTCCAAAGTACTTTCACGGAGGCTACCTCCTTATTCCACAGCTTGCGGATTTGTCGGTCTAGGATAGCAACCGGAACTTCCTCGTATGATAAGTCTTTTGTAATTTGTACATCATTCGTGGGCACCACTCGGGTAGGATCTCCAATGCACTTTCGTAACATACATACGTGAAAAAACGGATGAACAGACTCGAATTCCGAGGGAAATTCTAATTCATATGCTACTTGGCCCACTCTCCGAATCATCCTATAAGTCCCAATATACCGTGGGATATGTTTGCCTTTCTTGCCAAACCTCATCACACCCTTCATAGGTGACACTTTTAAGAATACCCAGTCATCAACCCTGAATTCTAAATCTCGACGCTGCACATCAAAATATGACTTCTGACGACTCTGAGCTGTCAATAATCGATCCCGAATCAACTTTACTTTTTCTATGGCTTGCTGAACCAGGTCTGGCCCATGTAATCCAGATTCTCTAACATCGAACCACCCTATAGGCAATCTACGTTTCCATTCATAAAGAGCTTCGTATGGAGCCATCCANGGAAGGACCTCCAGAAGTTAGCTGTAAATTGAGCTCCTCTATCCGAGATAATAGATACAGGGACGTCATGCAGTCGTACTATCTCCTTAATATAAAGCCTCGCATAATTCTCTGAGGAATATGTAGTTCTAACGGGCAGAAAATGGGCTGACTTTGTAAGCCTATCAACAATCACCCATATCGAATCGAACTTACGCTGGGTACGGGGCAAGCCTACGATGAAGTCCATATTGATTATTTCCCATTTCCAAGTCGGAATCTCCATAGCCTGCAATAATCCACCGGGTTTTTTATGCTCAATCTTAACCTGCTGACAGTTAGGACACTGGGCAACAAATTCTGCTATATCCTTTTTCAATCCATCCCACCAATACACTTCCCTGATATCATGATACATCTTTGTTGCTCCTGGATGGATAGAATAACGAGAATAGTGAGTTTCTCTCATAACCTGCCGATGCAACCCTACAACATTAGGCACACATAATCATCCTCGATATCTTAGGACCCCATCTTATGTAATTTCAAATAGCGTCTTCTCCTTTTGAAGGGTGGTATCCCTATAATGAACTAACACGGGATCCTCGTACTGGCATTCCTTTACATCAGTTACTAAAGATGATGTTGTCGTATCCTGAAGAGTAATTCCAACATCACCTGAGTTTAGTAACCGAACTCCAAGACTAGCTAGCTGATGAACCTCATGGGCTATTCCCCTCTTTTCTGGCTACAAATACGACAGGCTACCCATAGATCTACGGCTGAGGGCGTCGGCTACTACATTCGCCTTCCCCAGATGGTATAAAATATCAACGTCATAGTCTTTAAGTAGCTTCAACCATCTCCTTTGACGTAGATTCAATTCCTTTT